GGCCGCGCTTCTCGCACTTCGGGACGACGGGAAGCGCAGCTTCCGGCTTCTGCGCCCGGCTGACCCTGGGAGGGTTGGGGAGGGCGGCCGCAGGAGAGTGGCTGAGTTTCCCAGCTAGAGCCCGGCCGGCCCCCACGCTCCCGAGGCCACTCTGCTGGAGATACGCCCCAGCGTTCGCACCTTCATTTCTCTGCTGGGGCAGCTCCAACCCCTCCTTGGGCACCCCTGGCTTCTTAAAGTTCTCACCCGAAACCCGCCCCTCGGGCAGCTTCCCCAGCTCTGTCCAGCCGAGTGCACCCAGCCTGGACCTGTATTCAAACGTCCACTCTCTATCCTCTGGTGTTACACCTTCCCAGCTCTAGGAGCACCTGAAGGGTGAGGAATCCCTCCACATAGCAGGCCCTCCGTAAATACTGGATCAACAATGCCACAGATTGCCCGTTCCTTTAGTATGCAAAGACCTGGAACAGGCAGAATGGGGAGACCCCCACTCTCACGGCTCTTGGGAGCACACAGTCTGCCGGATGGGAGGCCAAGAGGAGACAGTCTAGGAGAAGACGCCGCTCTGCCCTCAGGGAGTTCTGAGACCGCTGGGAGAGGCGGTTGTGCCTAAACACGATGCCAAGATCCCAGTCCTCGAGCTCCCGTAACTCACCATGGAACCTTGGGACAGTCTCCTTGTTCTCTCTGGGCCACAGGTTTATTAACTGTAAAATAGAAATAATACCACCAATCTGCCAGCACTGTTAGAAGAATTAAATAAAGCAATGGGCATGAAGGGTCTTTGTCCACTGCAAAGTCCTAGAGGAAGATATAATTCTCTATTATATTTGAAATTAATATAGTCAGGCCAGGCAAGGTGGCCCATGCCTGTAATCCCAGCACTTTGGAAGGCCAAGGTGGGAGAATTGATTGAGCCCAGGAGTTCTAGGTTACAGAGAGACATGATTGTAGCACTGCACTCCAGCCTGGTTGACAGTGAGACCCCGTGGAAAGGAAAGGAAAGGGAAAGGGAAAGGAAAGAAGGAAAGGAAGGGAGGGAGGGTGGGAGGGAGGGAGGCTAGTTATGTAATCTTAATAGCATGAAACCGGTCTCTCCTTCAACAGGTTCAGACAAGCCCATAAGAATTAGGTAAATCTGTTACATGCATGAATAGGAAGAATAGCGTAGAACATCTTCATTTAGAGCTGATAGAGAACAGACAATGAAAACAAGTAAGGACATTATGGAGAAGATATTCTGCATAATAGAATATATTCTGTTATCGTGAATAAAAATTAAAAACTTGGAAGGTGACTTGGACTCGGCCTTCATTTTTGGAACACCTGCTCCATGCTGGGCTCCCTTCGAAAGCTACAGTTTGTTAATCTCTTGCCATGTGCCAATCGGTGCACTAAATGGTTACAGTGACTACCTCCTTTGATCCAGACAGCTCTATAAAGTACATACGATAATTAACCCATTTTACAAATTGGGAAGCTGACGCTCAGAGAGGTGACAAGAGATTTTTCTGTTATCTCATTTAACCCTCATGCATTCCTTTGAGGTGAGTGTGATGATCCTCTAGGGGCTCAGAAAATAATACACCAAAGTCCCCAAAGTGAGGGCCTAAGAAGCAGCCTCAGTCTGGTCCAAAAGTAGTGAATTATCTCAGTTTGATTGTTCAGTCAGTTACAGACCAAACTCCTTGTTCGACTCTTCACCCCTTCTCACTACTGCACTTGATGGACGGATGGAAGGAAAGAAACAAAAAAAAAGGAAAAAGAAGAAAAGAAAAAGCAAACTCCTGTAATCCCAGCACTTCGGTAGGCTGAGGTGGGTGGATCACTTGAGGCTAGGTGTTTGAGACCAGCCTGGCCAACATGGTGAAACCCCATTTCTACTAAAAATACAAAAATTAGCTGGGCGTGGTGGCACACACCTGTAATCCCAGCTACTCAGGAGGCTGAGACAGGAGAATCGCTTGAACCTGGAAGGCGGAGTTTGCAGTGAGCTGAGATAGCACCACTGCACTCCAGCTTGGGCAAGAAAGTGAGACTCTGTCTCCAAAAAAAAAAAAAAAAGAAAAAAGCAGACTCAAAAGTAGTCTCTGTCGGCCGGGCGCGGTGGCTCACGCTTGTAATCCCAGCACTTTGGGAGGCTGAGGCAGGCAGATCACGAGGTCAGTAGATCCAGACCATCCCGGCAAACATGGTGAAACCCCGTATCTCATAAAAAAAAAAAAAAAAAAAAAAAAAAAAGTTAGCCGGGCGCGGTGGTGGGCGCCTGTAGTCCCAGCTACTCGGGAGGCTGAGGCAGGAGAATGGCGTAAACCCGGGAGGCAGAGCTTGCAGTGAGCCGAGGTCGCGCCACCGCACTCCAGCCTGGGAGACAGAGCGAGACTCCGTCTCAAAAAAATAATAAAAAAAAAAGTAGTCTCTGTCCTGCCCTCCTGTCTCTGACCCCTAAGCCATAGAAACTAGAATATCTCTTCCCCAGTGCAGGTCATAGAAACTAGAACCCTTTTCCCCCAAAGCCAGGCATTACACCTAAAAATACTGCTCCAGGCCGGGCGCAGTGGCTCATACCTGTAATCCCAGCACTTTGGGAGGCCGAGGCGAATGAACCACGAGGTCAAGAGATTGAGATCATCCTGGCCAACATGGTAAAACCCCGTCTCTACTAAAAATACAAAAATTAGCTGGGTGTGGTGGCACACACCTGTAGTCCCAGCTGCTCAGGAGGCTGAGGCAGGAGAATCGCTTGAACCCAGGAGGTGGAGGTTGCAGTGAGCCTAGATCACAACACTGCACTCCAGCCTGGTGACAGTGAGACTCCATCTCTAATATATATAATATATATATTATATATATATATTTTTAGTAGAGATGTATTATTAATATAAATATACTAAATTTACTCTACTAAATATACTCTACTAAAATATATATTATATATATTGCTCTAACTTTTCTGCCTCCCACCCCTACCCCGCCCCAGTCTTTTTGGGTAACAGGTGGCCATGAAGAAATTAAGACCCTTGGCTGGGGATGGTGGCTCACACTTGTAATCCCAGCACTTTGGGAGGCTGAGGTGGGTGGATCACAAGGTTAGGAGTTCGAGACCAGCCTGGCCAACATGATGAAACCCCGTCTCTACTAAAAATACAAACATTAGCTGGGCGTGGTGGCAGGTGCCTGTAATCCCAGCTACTCAGGAGGCTGAGGCAGGAGAATTGCTTGAACCCAGGAGGTGGAAGTTGCTGTGAGCCGAGATTGTACCACTGCACTCCAGCCTGGGCAACAGAGCTAGACTCCATCAGGAAGGAAGGAAGGGAGGGAGGGAGGGAGGGAGGGAGGGGAATTAAGACCCTTATTCCAGAAGGGTCCTGCCCCATACCCAGGAGGGAGGAATGCTGCACAGAAAGGCCAGGAAGAATCTGGACAGACAGGTCTTGCTGGGCTTCCTTACTCTGTCTCTTATTAACATTAGAACATGCCCTTTTTGTCCAGTCATATTTCTTCATAGCTGTCCATACTCCATTAAACCTAAGCATAAAAATGGACAGTTTCCCCCATGTCTTTGGGTCCTCATTCTGAAGCCTCTGTGCCACATACAACTATAATCAAATAAATTTGTCATGCTTCTTTCTTGTTAACTTGTCTTTGTTACAGGCGTGTTAGCCATGACCCTTATGATAGAGAGGAAAGAGATTACCCTTTCCGCCCCTACAATCCCTATTTTATGATAGAAAAACTGAGGCCCAGAGAGGAGAAATTTCGTGTCCCAGGTCACACAGCTCCAGAGGTATTCAGGTTCTGGGACGTGGATCTGGAGGTGTGCTTGTGGGAGAGAATTCACTTTGCATGAAACTAGGCTGTGGCTATTTGAGAGCTGAAGGATAAAATAGTAGAAGTAAAGACAGTGGACAGTTATGGCCGGATGCAAAGCCCCTTTTATGTGCTGTAGGTCCATGAGGCTGTTCTGCCGATATGTTCATCTGTGGATGAGGAAACAGGCCTGGGAGAATGCTACTTGCCCAAGGCCACCCAGTTAGCTAGTGGTGGACCTGGATCCAAGCCTGCTCTTATCTGCTCCACAGTGCTGATATCAAGCAGGGAAGCTGCGGGCAGGGGCACTTTTTTCTCTGTCCTGCTCTGCTCAACTTCTTTCCCCAGTCCAGGTGCCTCCCTGCCCTGCCCTCCCCAGCCCAGTCTGGGCAGTCTGACAGCATTCTGGCCATCTAGGTAAGGCCTGATGATACATGGCTCCAGAAGCCTGGACCCCTATAACCCTGTGAGCTCTGCACCCTGAAAGGGAGCCTTGTGGGTAGCCTGTGCATCATCTGGCTGCCCTTCCAGCTACCAGGCTCAGCCCCAAGTAGATCAAACTCTCCAGCAAGCCTGGATTCCTGGGCAGACCTAAGTCCAGTAGCTGAAAGGACTCAAGAGGCTCTGAGCTGGGAGACCATCAGCTCAGAGACCAAAAGGAGTCAGGCTCTGAGCTGGGAGAGCATCAGTAAGGGTTTCAATGGACCTAAAGCAAGAGAAACAATAAATGTGTGGGGCCTGAGCTGTCCCCAACACCTTCTTTTCTTTTCCCCCAAAACAAGGCCACCATTCACTAGAGGCAGCAAAGCAGTGAAGCACATGGGTGTATTCTGCCTGGGTTCACACTTGAACTCTACCATGTACCAGGTCTTTGTGATCTTGGTAAGTTTTGTAACCTCGCCCGACGCTAGTCTCCTCAACTCAAAAGCAGGGTCATGATATCCACCTCATAGAGTTGGCATGAGGAGCGAATGGAATCATAGAAGGAAAGGGCTTACAATGCCTGGCGTATAGTAACTGCTCAAGAAATGCCAAGTATTACTCTATTTCAATTTTTTACTCCACAGCAGGAGTACAGGACATCAGGAGCACAGTGCAGCGGGAACACCCAGCAACGGGAGCACAGGGCAGCGGGAGCACAGGGCAATGGGAATACAGGGCAGTGGGAGCACAATAAAGTGGGAGCACAGGGCAATGGGAGCACAGCGTAGTGGGAGCACAGCGTAGTCGGAGCACAGGGCAGTGTGAACACGGTGCAGTGGGAGCACGGTGGAGCAGGACTGATTTCCAAAACAGATTCACTGCTTTATGGCCTCCTAGGATGAGTCTCACAGAATGAGGAGGAGTTCACCAAGTCTTGAGGAGGGGAAAGGACTTTCCAGGCAAAGGGAACAGCATGTCCAGGGCACAGTGGTGGGAGGGGAGGGGTAAGCTTAGGGAATGGGGCCTTGTCATGCTCTGGGGCTGGTGCACAGGGGACCTGGTGGTGGCAGATGACATTAGGAAAGCAGGGGTAGAAAGTTTGGTGGGAGGGGGTGGTTTCCCTCTCACTTCAAGCCCAGGGACAGGGCTTCCAGGAGACCAGTCAGAGAGGTGTCGGGTGTGCCCTGGGACCCTGTGACCTGGTGTCTGACTCTTGCCTGAGAAGCCAAAGAGAAAGGACTGCCTGAAGCCCCCTGAGGCAGTAGAGTAGAGGGCTGCGGCCAGAGGGCACCGCACACACAGGTGGCCACAGGAGAGAGAGTCCGCCTGGGGCGGTCTCGGATCCAGATCCCAGGAAGGTCTCCTCTGGTGGCGTGAGGCCTCAGCACGAAGAAGCTGGAGGCGTCTGGGATATCCTGGGATTGAGGGTCATCATGAGCACCTGGCTGGTGGAGACCTATACACCTTCCACAAG